TTGTTAAAGAGTGCGTTACAATAAACTGCACAGATAAAACCAACCTAATGTGTTGACACGTCCAAAGAGACAAATAAAATCTTAGAGTAAAATAAGAAAATACTCATCTTACTACTGTTTTGCTTTAAAAAAAAATGCAATTACATATTTTCTGTACACAAGTGAATTTCGACATATTTATGATTATATTTCGTATACCAGTTAAATGCTTTGTTATTTTATCAAATTATTATATCAATAAAAAAGTTTTAATTTCAGAATTAATCAATGTATAAACTATTTGAAAAGAACCGTTTGATAGAAGAACATAACTTTTGTTCATTTAAAATCTCATTATTAGTAATGATTTTGATATTCCGTTTAAATGATAGAATATGATACACAGATAAATAAAGGGTGTTGATAAAGGAAGAACAATACAGATTGTTGCAGTTTATAACACTACATATATATTGTCAACACACAAACAAACCTATTTCATTCTCATTGACGGATCATCAATACTGAAATAGTCTTTTTTTTTTAAAGATTGAAATAATTGTTTATCATTTAAATTGTACCTACTTTAATTTTCGTTCAGGGGAACAGATCGAACAAACCTCCTCTTTCGAATCAATTATCATCGAAAAACTTCAAATATCAACCCTTATTTTAAATCTTATTAACACTTTATTGGCATAGATAATGCTGAAAGTAATACTACGTGCAGAACTCCTTAGATTGCGGCTAACTCTAATAAACCAAAATAAGACCTAGTTTTCTGCCGCTAGACGCTTTATTAATGGGTGATATTTTATATAAAATGGATACTATGCAAACATCTCAATGTTCAAACTGTAGACTAGGGTAGGTAACTCAAAAAATCCATGACGAATTAATCAATTGTTAGAAAAAATAATTAAGATATTCTAAGTTAACAAATATACTTTATATGGGATAACAAGTTAAAACGTTTGTTTTGAAAACTATTCCTTTTCATATGTCTAAAAAAACTACATTGAAATGGAAGAACATAAATTAAATAAATTTCAGAAAAAAAACTACATTTTACTTTACAAGCATCAAAGCATGCTCACACCTGCTGAAACAAGACTTAAAAAGTGTTAAAAATTAATGATAATGAAACCATACCTTTTTACACAATAATATCGACGGATGCACCTCCGAGTGGATTTCTTACAGCCAGGTCATGATCAGTTCATAAAAAGACGATCTTGTTTTTAAATCCAAAGAAAACTTTGTTAAAAGAATGAATTTCAATACAATAAAGGAACTATATTTAATCAGAAACATTTATAGTGACTAACTTGATTTTGTGATGTAGACATGCGATTTTAAAACGATCAGTTGGTCTTGTTATAGTCGAAAATAGGCAGATCCGTAATAACTTGACACGGTTTACTCGCTACTTTCGTTTAGGTTCAATTGAAAGATAACATTATATAGTGCAATTTGAAACATGTAATTTTCTGTAAAGATACGTCGACGTTTCAAACGTGCGTAATATTACAATATATACAGTTGATTGCTTCTCGACGAAAAAATACTAGTTTCAAGTAAACGAATTTCTTTAAAAGTTTCTTAAATATAGAAAATGCAATATTCTTTATTTAGTCAGAATTCTGAAAATTTTGTGAAAAAAAACAAAACTGACACCGCATTCATATTTAACCTTTTCTCATCCATTAACGAAATTAGACTGACTCCCCAAAAGTCCAATGTTGGTTTATAACAAAATATTCTATTATATGTAGTAGAGTGATTTTTATGACTATTTTGTATATTGTAAAATCATCTATTTAATTACTATATTTATAATAAAAGTTTACATATTTTGAATATTGAAGCTGAGTTTAAATTATTACTTGCAAACCCTAATTTAGTGTATAGTAATATGCACTTTAATTTTTTATTTGAATCGTTGTATCTGATTGGTAATTAGGATTTCGCGATTAAGTTTAGTTTCCTTTGTTTTGGACCTAGTAGATTTCCACGGCATCAAGAAATGAAATTTAAAAAAAAACATATCATTCATTAGCGAAATTAGACTGACCCTCAAAAGTCCAATGTTGGCTTATAACAAAATATTCATGTTTAGGGGAGGGTTGATGGCTCACAAACATGCTAAACCCCTCCATAGTTTGTGCCTGTCTCAAGTTTGGAGCATGTTATCCAGTGGTTGTCGTTAATTGCTGTTTGCAGGATTTATAGATGTGCAGTCACGTCCGATTGGAACGTTAAATCATAGTGTCACTCAATGCAAATTAAAGAATCGCTCAACAACAATTTGAGGGGACCAAAGATGGCTTGTTGCACGGCAAAATTTTTGATCCTATCCTGCACACCCCTGTATTCATTTTGGTCGACTCATTTAGAAAAAAATACCTTTTGAATTTAGTGTTAATCGATCCTAGTCCTGAATATGCATATACAACAGTAGGTTTACACGTTTCCACTTGTATTTCATGTAAACGAATGCTTTTGTTTGATACCTGCCCACGTCAGTAACCTTAACTCATTCCCGTTTGATAATATAATAATTTTTTCTCACAACTCTGATGTACTTTCTGATGCTGATTTTTGCCCCAAATTGCACCGATTCTTTCAAGCTTAATTTCACTTCTCTTAAGTTGCTTTGTGATACCATACGGCATATTTTGTTAATAGTGAACCAAAAGGTAAAACATGCAACACAGAGGAACACAAAGGATCAGTATGCTGGAGTTTCTTGTTGAAAACATATTTGTTGAATATGGAGGTAGACTTTTTCAACAAATTGTCGGCATTCCTATGGGAACGAGCTGTGCGCCTCTCCTTGCCGACCTCTTCTTTTTTTTCATATAATGAGTTCCTTCAGAAACTTGTCAAAAACAAGAAGATAAAAGAAGTCAGATCATTTAATTTCACATTCAGATATATTGATTGTTCTTTCCATTAACAATCCAAACTTTTCTGATTGGGTTCCATTAATATATCCTCCAGAACTAGAAATTAAAGAAACAACAGACACTGCTTCCTCCGCCTCATTTTTATACTTATACCTCGAACTTGACATAAGCGGTCATCTCAGTACCAGAATCTATGACAAACGAGACGATTTTGATTTTGAAATTATCAATTTCCCCCACCTTAGTAGCAATATACCAACTTCACCTGCATATGGGATATACCTTTCCCAACTTATTCGGTATTCAAGATCTTGCAGCTGCTACTCAGACTTTATAAAACGTCACCAGTGTCTGAGCAGAAAGTTGAAGAACCATGTTTATGTCAAAGAACGTCTCGACCTTTTTCTAAAACAATTCATCGGAATATACAAATACCTTGTTGATAAATATTCCGTATCAACTTCACAAATAATACATGATGATCTTGAAGTATAGATTCTAGGTACTGACGTTGTTTATCATCTTAATTTCGTGTTATAGAGTTCTTTTATGTGTCTAGGAAAATTATTAACCTTTACTGTTTAGTCCATTTCTGGTGATATCCTTTTGGCGTGGCTCGGAACTTGTACATCCCACCATTGTGTTATTGTGCTATGGTAGTTTTTTGTATTCTAGTCTTTCATTTTTGCTTATGTGCTTTGTCTATATGCCATTTTGTTTTCCATTGTTGACATAATTGTTTGTTTTTATAGATTAGGATTATTACATAATATTGACGGCTGTACCCCTATTTTTGACATCTTTTCCTATTATATCTGTTTGTTTTGTTCACACGTTTTTGTTAAAATAATGGAATGTGACTGTCATACAAGTGAGAGGTTTAGCTAGCTATAAAACCAGGTTTAATCCACCTTTTTCTACATAAGGAAATGCCTGTACTAAGTCAGGAATATGACAGTTGTTTTCCATTCATTTGATGTGTATGAACTTTTGATTTTGTCATTTGATAAGGGAAAAGTAAAACAACAAAAATACCGAACTCCAAGAAAAATTCAAAACGAAAAGTCCCTTAACAATTGGCAAAAACCAAAGCCCAAATACATCAAACGAATGGTTTTACCTGGTTTAAAAGCTAGCTAAACCTCTCTTGTATGACAGTCGCATAAAATTCCATTATACCGACAACAATGTGTGAACAAAACAATCAGACATAATAGGTTAAAATGTCAAAAATAGGGGTACAGCAGTCAACATTGTGTTATAATCTCAGTCACTATAAAAACAAACAAATATGTCAACAAAGAAAAACAAAATGGCAGAGCACATAAGCATAACCCTGGTTCATCAACTTTCTGGTCAGACACTGGTGACGCTTTACAAAGGGACTTTCCGTTTTGAATTTACAAAGGGACTTTCCGTTTTGAATTTTCCTTGGGGTTCGGTATTTCTGTTATATTACTTTTTGCCTGGCCGAGTACCAGAATGTCCTACCACAGAGTTGGTAAGCTGCCGAAAAGTTATATAATACGGAGTCAGACGTCAGTAGTATGAAAATGGTCTATTAACTACATATATATACATTTTGAAGTTTCTGTTAAATATATTCGCAAGCAATTTTTATAGACTCGGGACTATTAAGAGCTTGAAGTAGTGTAAAGACACCAATATATTTGTTGAAGACTGTATTTTGGTTATTTTTGTCATGGAGTGTTGTCTCATTGACGTGTACCCCACATTTCCTTCTATTCGAACTATCTGTGCAATCCCAACACGAAAAGTTTTTGCGGAAACTTTAAGGTTCAATGTACATCAGGTAACGCTATAATTTTTGCTTCCTTTCTTTAAAAATTGCAACTCTACGTGTATTTATAGATCTTTGCCGTTTCAAAGTAATTAATTTGGTGCTGGTTAATAATTAAAAAAAAACGCTATGAAAGCAGTTTTGTTTTGTTTGTAGAATAAGTGTAGTAAATGGTAAAGGGCATACGATATCTAGTTGATTTTTCAAACATAGTTTAAACAAAATCAATTTTGATATGCAGGTCATGCAAAGATTTGTCAACAAATGGCTAATAATATTTTCAGGAGAGAACGCAAGACAAAAACAAAAAGTGAAGTCTATGTTTAATGATTAACTTATAAATATATCACTCTAAAAATAGATTTTAAAATGTATAATTAGTATCACAGATCATACACTATATATCACAGAAGAAATTAAAGTACATGTATCACATAATTGTCATGTATTTTATATTCTAAAATTAGCCTACCCAAATGTAGCGTTATATAAAACATTTGAAGATTATATCTATAAAATCTTGAAATAGGAGGTTAAGTTGTCAAAAAAAAAACATACTGTGACACATTTACAACTAATTAAAAAAAATCTCTAAATGTACTAAAAAGCATTTTCACATTGCAAAACATGCACATTTTGCTGAAAATATCAATCACATACATGTTACTTTGAGCAAAAGCAAAAAGTAAAACACATTTCTTTTTAACCCGAAATGTGAAACAGAAATAACATATTCCTTATGATTACACAATTTGGTATAAATATCTACCATTTCACTTGTAAAATATAAGTTATATTCACTTCGAGGAGTGCAAGGTATATATACCATAATAGTTTAACAACTCAATTGTTTCTTCTTGAACAAAGGTACATTAATATCGTAATTAAATTTTCATTATAATTTATCTTTATCTTTTGGCTTATTTTTTAACTAAAAAGCGTGTTTCTATTTCAAAATAATAATTATAGTTTACCATTGCCTCGTGTAAGTTCTTGTTGAAGGCGTATTTTCAATGCGTAAAACCAAATTTCCTCCTTTTTATTAAATAATATATAGAGTAGTCTTTTACCAGAGAAGGAAATTATCTTTTGCTACAAAAATAAACATAAAGATTAAGAAATATAAAAATTGTGGACGGAAAACAATTTAAAAAAATACAATGCAATTATATAAAAAACTGACTAAATGCATATATCAACAAATTAACAATTATACATTAAAGCACGAAAATGCAAATTAACACAACCAATGTCTGTACAAACACAAGTCAATTTCAAACTCTAATTATTAAGTACACAACTCAATATGAGATATCTTTACATTGGAAAAAAGGTATTGGAAAATTCCTGATCCATTAAAATTTTCTTAAATGTGTTATAAAATCATTTACATAATCTAGATTTCTATTGACTAACTCCAACTAAAAATGAAAGAACATGTTCGTCATGATCAATTCTTAAATAAAATGGCACAAATATTTGGCAAGACTATTCTTAAATTCGATCTTAAAGACCTTTGAGAAATGAAGGATATGAAGAAATTTGCACACCCGCCTTAACTTTCATTTCAACACTGATGAGATCTGGGTTGTACGCTCCAAATACAGGCAAAAGTGGTTTGGTGAAATCTAATCCAGAAAAAGTATGCAGTTTCTTTTCTTTCTTCACATCGGCTATGATCCATTTCTTCCTCTTCGTGTCCACCAACATTCCATAGGTGACTTCGACAGTCAACCCTGCTTTATTTTCGCTGAGGGGTACATAGGCAAGGAGATCACGGTTGTGCCAAAATTCCTGCGCTAGTTTTCCATCTTCTGGGTACCTTGCGACGTAAAAAGATCTTGCATGCTCGTGACGTTCTACAGTATGATGTTTGTCAACATCTTCTCGTCTACATAGGCCAATTTCAAACACGAGCCACGTTTGCTCGAGAGGCTGGATTATATTAAATGTAACAACCACTTCATAATAATATTTGCCAGGTTCTTTGAAGGAAAAATTACCAAGAATTCCCTTGTATTGTTTTAATTGTTTCTTCGGGTTTCCAGATGATGGTTTACCAGTTTTACGATTCTTAAATATTTTCCCGTCTATCGAAGCCTCCCTTTCTTCATGACAAGTATCTATGTCAAGGGAAATATCTGGACCTATAAAATACGAATAAATATTCAGTATCAAATATGGTAGGTATCAAGACGTACCTTAATTTATATAACAATATTGTTAAACAGAAGCACCATGGCATCGTCATCTTTTTCTAAGGAGTAAACGAAATCTAGATGAATAGTTGCATTAAACCGACACAATTTTGTAGCTTTTTTTAAGGCTTCTGAAAGACTATAAGAAAAGAAAAGAACGTAAATAGAGTTGATTTACATGAAACAGTACCATATGAACATTCGAAATGATTACTATGTCAAAGTCTTGGATGATCTTCAACGATGAACTAGAGTTTAAACCTAAAAGAAATCAAGACTGACATCAGAGTCGATTACAGCAATACTCCTTAATATTCATATTGTTTTGACATACCGGCTTCTTGATTTTCAAGCAGGTTCATCAGATATCAATTTGAAAGTTAACCCGTCTCTTAACATTTTCCTACCGAAAAATGACCAATCAAATAAGTTAGAATTGAGGAAACAAATAACCAAGTTATTTAAAGGTACTTTTATAATCAATTTTACATTATCCACCGTAAGACCATTTCCATTATATTTTGCTCCACTATGCTCTTTAAGTGAAGAGGAAATGGTCAGTGTCGATGTATCACTACTATATTTTATTATTTTATAGTAACGGAGGTCATGCTGGTTGATCAGTATAAATAGCAACTGAACTTTTGAAACTAGCTTCCCTAAAGATAAGTGTAGCCAAATACTAGTAGCATTTTAGAGAGTTATGATGAGGAATCATGTTTTTCACAGTAGTGATTTCAATCTACTATTTCAGGTAAGTCTTTTGACTATAATTTGGAACGGTATATCTAATGTAATTCTATGGAAACTGGTCACATTGTGATACCCTTATTTATCTTAATCTTACGATATTACGGTACTCACATTGCACGTCGTTGTATGTTGTTGGTCCTGATTTTACCTCCTCTGAGCTTGAACTTTTGACAAATACTAGAAATATAGTGGATACGAATACATTAGTGTATGCCTGAATTTACATGGTGTTCCACCGGTATTTGATATTGAAATTCACCGTGTATAGTAGTTATTGATGTTTAGTGTCACCGAATGAAATGTGCATCCTTTCTCTATACGTAAAGAACTACATCGCAAAGGAAAGCATCAATACACAGAGCCAAAATCAGTGATCTTCACATGTAATTTATCTACCACAACGAACAACCGAATGAGTGCCAAAGACGAAACAAAATATAGTTTTGTTTGTTAATTAATAATAAACATTTACTTTTTGCTAACTTTTAATGCCCCTTTAAAAAATTACCAAAATACCAAAAACAAATTTGAATGCAGGTAAATAGATTTTTTTTCATGATCACAAAAGAAAAAACTGAGAGAAAAATATTATTACTAAATATAAACATTGTTTAACTGATAACATTTTGTAGAGACTCCTAACATTCATATATATGTTTATTGAATAAAACAAAGATTGAATCATTTGGCATATATTTTCCTGGGTAAACCATGTTTGTAGTTTCTATAAAAAAAACCTTGTAGCAAGTAATCAACTAAAACACACATAAGGTATTTTACACAAGCAACCAACAATTTCATAAAAAAAGAAATCTAAACATCTGAAAGTTGTACCAGTGAGTATAATGTAATAATAATCAGGTAAAACATAATTGTAGTACACATCAAATAATCAGTAGCCAAGCTTAAAGGTTCAACAGCTTAAACATAAGCACAGTCACCGCTAAACTGGATTTTGTGTAGATAAATCAAAACATTTAAGTTAAAACGTATTAAAAGACTTGTGTGGCATTACTTTAAAGCTGCCTTCTTGTTGTCATTCTTAGTGATTTCCAGAGTGTTCATTTCAACAGTATCAGAACATCTAAAATGCGATATATGAAAAATTGCATACATTTATATATAATAATCTGTACTACTGATGGCAAGTAATATCATTATTATTTGTATAATTATTTCATTGCTTTAAGGAGCTAAGCTAAACAAGCAAGTCTATTCTGGCGCAACTGAGGAAATTCATACACAACTTACTTAACACTTATCCTTTTATGAAACAAATTATTTAAAAGTTTAAATTTGTCAAATGGCACTGAATTCTTGATTATATGAATAGGGAGGATTTAAAATCGGAAAGCGGATAGGCTATAAACAGGGAAAAGAGAAGCGTAGACATTCGTGAGGAAGATCAAACGAGTGCAAGAATAAAAACAATAACAGTAACACACCGGTTCGGATGCCTTAGCAATTTGGGATTTTCCAGTTATATCTATTCTGCTGATGATTCATTGTTGATCGAATATGGTAATCCTGGTATCTATGATGAGTTTATATATCATACAATTACTCAATTCTTTGAAGGTTATGCACCAAATAAGGTGGTTATAAAGGACGTCTATTTACAAACCATTACGTCCTCATTTACAGCTATTTATAAGTGTTTTGAAATTTGTTATTATGACCCTTATATAAATACGAAAACATAGCAAAGCTGCAATCTGTATAACGTTCATACATTGATGTTGCTATACTTGTCCAAGGTTATGCGAAATTTGTTCGTCCTTTTTTTTAATTTTTCTTTTTTCGCAATGGAAATGTCTTATACATTTTATCGTTACATCATTAAACAGAAAGGATACAACTCAGGAAAGTATTTTTAGGAATATTTACACCGGTCTTTGATATGCAAAGGTTATCAATATATAAAAAGGTATAGTTTTCAATGACAATTAACATGAGTGTGATAATACACTGAATGCAATCACGACCAAACATTGGCCTAATGTTACCTTCATCGTCGTCCTCGTCAGTGTCATCTAAAAAGTAAAGAGAAGTTAAACTGCCAGAAAGGTGATAAATGTGAAAGTTTACCGAGTTAATAAATAGAACCTCTTTGTTTTCTTTAGAATAAGAAATACTTACAAGAACGTCTTTGGTTCAGAGGAGAAGTTATTGGTTTAAATGATCTTTCAGAAGTTGGCTGAAATGATTTTTCCCCAGTCTGACTCAGACTTCTCTCTGTGGAAGAATAATATAATGTGCAGAAGTAAGGAAACATCTACGTTTATGTGTTGCAAGTAAGCAATAAAGCAAATGTTGTCTAATAGTATATAATTGTCGAATTACCGGTATTTATCTTCTAAATTGATCTTAAAAGATCTATATCCTAAATGCTTTATTAATTAGTTTGTCAATATGGAAAGGAAAAAAGAGGTAACTTAAAAGATTAATATATAGTATAGCCTTTTCAACTCAAATATTAATTCTATTTTGTTCATTATAGATGTAGCATTTCTACTAATAATAAACAGCTGCGCCATGAGCGCATGATACGCCCGTCGTCTTGTGTGTGAATTTTTATGCAATAAGCATAAATAGTTTCTGACATACGGCGTGACATGCGAAAAACCCCCTTTTTTTTTAAACTCAATATCTCTAAAATAAAATTTTGAATCAAAACCAAAAAGTATATAGATCTTTAGATTAATATAACTAAGAAGTGTGTAAAATTTTAAGCAATAATCATAAATCGTTTTTGAGATACGGCGCGACATCTGAAAACCCCCCCTATTAAAAAAAAAAAATCAATATCTCAAAAATAAAATATTTAATCAAAACCAAAAAGTATACAGATCTTTAGATTAATATAACTAAGAAGTGTGTAAAATTTTAAGCAATAATCATAAATCGTTTTTGAGATACGGCGCGACATGTGAAAAACCCCTCCCCTTTTTTTACAAAATACTCAATAACTTAAAAATAAAATTTTGAATCATCACCAAAAAGTATACAGATCTTAAGGTTAATATAACTAAGAAGTGTGTAAAGTTTTAAGCAATAATCATAAACTGTTTTTGAGAAACGGCGCGACATGTGAAAAACCCCTCCCCCTTTTTTAACAAAATACTCAATATCTCTAAAATAAAATTTTGAATCATCACCAAAAAGTATACAGATCTTAAGATTAATATAACTAAGAAGTGTGTAAAGTTTTAAGCAATAATCATAAATTGTTTTTGAGATACGGCGCGATATGTGAAAAAAAAACACACACCTGTTTTAGTTACTAAGTCCCTTAACTCAAAAAGTTTTAATCTTATTTTCACCAAAAAGTATACAGATCGTTTGACCATCATGAGAAACAACTATGTTAAGTTTCATGAAATTTTGATAAGTCATTCTCATGTTACGGTGCGACATGCTTACGGACAGACAGACGGACGGACGGACAGACAGACAGACAGACAGACGGACAGACAGACAGACGGACGCCGGACATTTGTATACCATAATACGTCCCGTCAAAAATTTGACGGGCGTATAAAAAAGGGGGAACTGCGGAAATCGCTATATTCCGGCAAAAATGCTGATTTTGTCTACTACAAGAGGTATTTAAATATGAAACTATTACCATATTGTCTCGCTATATATATATATATAAATTTGCAAAATCTGAAAGAAAACATTTTCAATTTCGCATCGCAATTCACTCTTTTGGAATAACGACTGAGACATTCATAGCTAAGTTACGATACAAGATTTAGTGGTTTGAAAAGGCTATATAACATCTCGAAATATATTTAAGAAATTCAGATGACTCATTTAGACAGATTTATGTAAGCATCATGCAAGTCATGCAGTGTGTTTCAGCTTTTGATTTTAAATGATCTTCTAGTAATTTCAGAAACTGTGTTTTGTTAATGGCAAAAGTATTTTCCTGTATTGTTTTTCAATGTATGTTTTAAACAAAAAGATGGCGGGGAAATAAACATATGTTAAGTCACAACAGTTTGTTTTCCTTAACATTTTTCAATTTTAGCATCAGAGAAAATGTTAAAAGACCAACTAAAGAAAACACATAAAAGAAACAGACTACCAGAAGAAAAGTAACATCTACATACTGACATTTGTGGCACTAGTTCATTACACTATTAACTAATACAATTATTTACATACTGAATGCATTGAAAATGACAAGCTTTTAGTAATTAAGCATATATATGAACAGCGATGACTGGCTATGAGTATATATGGTACCAATTGGCGACTAATGTTAGTGTTCCTACCAGCTTGAACCTGTTTTGGTAAATTCCCTCTCTTTTCGAGTTCCTCTGTTATGATAATGACAAGAATAAAGTTTTAAAATGTAAAAGATGGTATAGTTTTGTTTAATAGTCACGAATGTGTAAAGGATTGGTTTTTATTGAATGTCTTGTCTATTTTATCCAAATTAAAATTTTGACCTGAAATTCATTACTCTTGTTTTTAGTGTTACTGGGCTGCCATCTCATCGCCTCACACCCAATTATTCTCTTAATTATTTTAGAAATTGGCAGTTGCTTTGATATATGGATTTGAAGTTAAAATATTAAAAACTCATTTCAAACACGTTATATATTATGAGCATGCACAATTTACGCCCTATAGGTTTCCTAGTTCAGGCATAAACTCTTGTAAAATCATTACTTTTTTTATAACATGCTTTACTTACTCATGAAGTCTCCAAGGCCTAATGGTCGAGATAAGGTATCTAACTGTGATGTTGAAGCTGATGTTCGGAGTTTACCAGGAACGGGTTGCGTCTTTACTGTTGGAGCTGTTAGAAATGTTATTTTAGAATGTCTATATGAATGTGTGAGTAACTCTTAAAACCAATTCTCTGTTAATTTATATTTTAAGCCGACACCATTTTCATTAATAAAACATAGCTCAAACCATAATTGTCAATTGACAAAATATATTAGTTTTAAGTTATTCAAAATCAAGTAAAATGTAAGGCTCAACTTTGACGTGTCGTAGCGGAAAAGATTTGCATATTTACTAAAGTATTTATTTTTTGTACTTCATAAAACTGAAAAGTGGAAGCACTGATACATGTATGATTGTAACTAAACATTATACGTAGCATACGATGTTAAACATATACAGTTACCACGATATAGTAAAAGCATGGTAAGGTAACGTCAAAAATCATGTAGTACTTAAGCCTCCAAATAGCTTGCATCCCTCACCAAGTGCTTGTGTATAGTGTAGCAATACGCTTGATTTTCTTATTGATTCAATTAGTAATATCAATGGACATGGAACAACAATAAAATCATTTCGCCAAACTGTTGTCCCTGTTGGCTTTATAATTTGGTGTTAACATCCGATTCTTGTAATAAATACTAATTTGGTTGGTTATCACATACATAATTCTTATGAATGATTGTAAACAATTTGTTTCACTTGATTCAGTAGTTTCTGATAAGATGATTTTTTTTTTAAAGTTTACTGGAAATAACCATTACTTAAACCATCCCGGTTGAGGGCCATCGGTTCTCGGATTCAATTTTCAGAAGACACTATCATAACACATTAAATAGTTCTGATCTAGTTCTGATCTAGTTTAACAATGACCATGTTGGTTGATTATCTATAAGATATGTCAAGACATAGACATGTAAAAGGAAATCCCCTTGACTGTGCAAATTTCTATTTTAACCCAAGTGTAAACGAACGTATGATAAAGCAATGGGGCTAATGTAACTGTCATTCCTCATAAAAAGGACTGGTCAATAATTATACAACAAACAATTTTTTTATGACAACACCCAGGAGAAAAAGGCACACTATATTCAATAGGTAAGTTTGTTTTTTTTATTGTTTTTTTTTATTTATAAAAAGGCATAAAACAAAGGAGACGGAATGCAAGTGATGGCAATAGTTTACAAATAACCAATGGGCCGTGAGTATAAACGTTTACATATAGGGTATATATTGCCAAAAACAACATTTATGTGGGTTGATAGTATGTACACTTCGTAAAAACTTAGTCTATTTAATGTGATAGACGTTAGGTTAAATAGCATTACTTCACAAAAATCTTGTTATGAATGTTAGAAATCTATAAAAACTATCAACTGCAGCATTAAAATAGGAAAAATCTACAGACTTTGAAATTTTCTATACTACATCGGCGTTATAGTTAACGAATGTATGAATAAGCAATGGAGCAAATGTAACCCTTTTCATCAAAAGCACCGATCAATGAATTCAACAAAACGCTTTTATGTCAAGAAGAGAGCCAACAATTTTAAATAATGATATCTGATGTACACACAGTTCTTGATATTGAAATAAAAGATAGCGTTATCATTTTTGAAGCAATAACTATTCTAAAACAAAGTTCATCATGAGACTTACGACTTCTAGGTCTATTGAAGAAACTTTGTGGTGGCTTTTCTCTTGGTGAACAGTTGCCATTAGTCACAGATCCAAATTTAGATGGTTTTACAGGTTTTGCAGTGGTGGTTCTCAGTCCACTCCGGGCGCTATCAAAGGAAGTTTCATTTATATTTTCAGAGCTCCTGGACAAATTATTTCTAGGTGATAATAAATTATGTTGACCACCCGCCATTCTAGTGGGCATGCTGATCTGACGTTGAACCATGCCTTTCTCATTCTCTGCAGGCATTCGTTGATCAGATTCAAATGGATCAGACTTTCTTGGACTATCTAGTGCTTCATTTCCTGTGAATAAGGAAACATTCTCAAATAAGTAGCTGTAAATACGTTGTTTAGTAATTTAAAAGTGATATATGCATAAAAATAAAGTAACATTTGAAAATTGCAATTAGTTGCAACAAAAAGCTTTGTAATAAATAACTTATCTAAAATCTTTCATTTTACTCGCATCACAAAATTACTTACCTTTAAGAAACGGGGGAAACTGTACCAGTGAAGCTCCAGCTCGTAACCTCATAATGACGTTCACAAGATCAGAATTGTAAGTCCCAAAAACAGGGAACAATGGTTGAGAGAAATCGACGTCAGTAAAAGTATATAACTTCTTTTCCCTCTTGACATCAGCAATTGTCAGTTTACCGGTTGCTGTGTTTATTAGAATACCATAGGTCACCTCTACAGTAAGACCAGGACTGTTATCACACAAAGGAATGATAGCCTTTAGGTCACGGTTGTGCCAAAACTCCTGCGACAGTTTTCCATCCTCTGGATAACGAGCAACGTAAAATGATCGTGCAAACTCGTGTCTTTCGACCGTGTGATGTTTGTCGATGTCCTCTTTTCTGCTAAGGCCCAGCTCAAACACTAACCAAGTCTGTTCTAGTGGCTGGATGATATTAAAAGTAACATCAACCTCGTAGTAGTACTTTCCTGCTTGTTGGAATGAATAATTTCCAATAATTCCTTTGTACTGTTTGAGTTGATTTGGTCCAACTACTGTGCTACTTGAAGGATTGCCAGTTTTCCTGTTACGCAAAGTCTTTCCATCAATGGATACCTCCCTCTCTTCGTGAACAGTCAAAACATCAAATGAAAAGTCTGGACCTGTAAAAAAAGACTTTCTTTATTCTTAGCAGCATAATTTAAATAACAAACAAGCACATACTATATCATAAGCCTAATATACATTTTGTACGTATTCATGTATATATCATTTGAACCCATTATTAATGTTAATGTCAGAGTCTGTGTTCAAATAATGTTGAAAGGAAACATATTTACAGTTTTCTTTCAATATTGTAAGTAAAAGACGCTTTCCGAAAAAGATATTCTAGTTGAAATATTTTGATGGTTTTGATGAAAACTTTGTTGTTCTGTTCGAGAATAAGAGAAAAGGGTAATATAGAAAAGTATTACATCGTTTTCATTAGTTCGTTCTATAGTTTAAAACATTTCATCCTGTACATGTAAAACTGGAAAACAATTCAAAAATGAAAACAATCTTAATATGTTTGCTAGCTAAATGAACAATGCCTTTAGAGGGAAAACATATCAAAGCACTGAATAAATTGAAAATAATCACAAATGTATTACTTGTTACGTCGTTGAAAATGGCAGGTCCCGACCTTGGTTGTCCATCAGCAATACCATTACGAACAAACACTGAAACACACAATGATAAACATATTTTAAACATTGTAAAATCAGAGTAAACATATACCATTCATTGTTATGTCTAAGATATGAAATGTTAAATATTTCAAATGATAAAGGAAAAAAAATAGTAAACTTGTGAGAAAATCAAAGTAAGTTTTTCTTTTCTAATTTTATTTGAAAAAGTAAATTAACCAAACATTATAATTTTCACTTTATTATCAGATGTTATTTGAAGCATGTTTGCAGTGTGGTTTTACACAGATAAGTGCTGGACATGTAGTTTTTTGTTAAAGTGATAGGTTTCAATCTTACAAGTCCTTGTAGCTTGTAAATTGTGAGAGTATTTTATATTTGTTTGTGAAATCCAGATGAAAAATGAATCAAGTGAAAGTGAAATGTTCGGCCTTTTGGCCTTATACTCTGAAAGTGTGAGTGTTTGACACGTTAAAACAGGGATTTGCAAGAGGGATTCAAAGAAAAGACATTCAAGTCTGCAAGAGCTAATACTATCTAATTGAAGAAGGATTGGGGTATAGTTTTATACAAATTCAAAGAAAACGAATCAAAATCTGAAATTATCACCTATAAGGCTCTCTACATCTAAGTGACCCCTCGATACAGAAAAATATTTCTATAAGGATTAAGAAAAATCTTTACGCCAATTCTAAAGAGATAATGTTGTACAAATACAACTGTTTTGGACCCTTCCCGCATTTTTCAGAAACAAAGTAAAACTTTATTATAAAATTCAAATTATTCTAATTACTTTTCTATTTAAACCAAAGTTATTGTGAAAATATAGTGTCTTTAAACGAATAATAAAGACCCATTTACGACCATAAAAGTTTGCAGCAGTATATAAAAAGGGAAATATAAGGTAAATGTCTAAGACAGTGTTCCAACAATATAAGCTAACAAAACATAACGTCTAAAAGTCTTTTTAAAATTTCCTAATGGGGTACGAAGTCATTTTGGCGATTCTGAAAAATTTCACAAAAAATATCAAAAATAATGTTTCACAATGTTATTGTTTATTATAACCAGCCCTCATATATTATAGCGTTATAGTTCACTAGAGTTTAAAATTCATATCGTGAAAGATATTTGTCTTTAAATCTTTCCCAATGAAAACATAAAGTAAAATTTATCAAACATACAAGAGTTAAATCTGAGTGCACCTATATTAATGTTATAATATAAGTACGGCTTTCTAGTAAAGAATGTAAAGATCAAAATATTCTGGCTAATCTACTATTACATAAAAGCATGCTTGTCTGGAGGATGGTTATGTAATAAAGCAATTTTATGTGTAAAACCAAAAAGTTATGGACTAATTAAACTTATTTACCTTTTCTCGCTTGTTTATCGGAATAAATTGATATTGAATTAAATATTCAAAACGATCCCTTACATACTTGAAAATTTACAAAAATGTATCAAGTATCTCATTATCTATAAGCTAAAATTTTGAGAAAAATTTATGATAATGAATTGTTCTTTCAGGGATTGATCGGGTTCCGTAAAATACAATTGAAAATATTTAATAATAACAAACTTTTAAAGATGAAATATTATCAAATAATGACAAATATATAAACCATGCCGTTAAGAAGATTTTACATAGTATCGTTAAACATCTACTGGAATAACTTGCATCCCTATACATACAGATATAGATTTGAGTGCACTAGCATTGATACGTCAAATGACAATGGAAGTAGGTGATCAGGAAAAGAAATATGTATTGCCTTTTCATATTTGAATTGTTTTAAAAAATCCAAATAAAAATTATTGCCAAAATCTATATCATTATGAACACAAGTGTCTTTGTGTAGATTAAAAGAAAAAAATATTTGTGGCATTTAATTTTCAACCGAAGCAAATTTATGAAAAGGCGACTCATCTTAACAGCATAGAATGATATGAAATATGAGGTGCTGGGTAAAGCATGCTCTATTGACTGTTGTCATTTCTGTGTTTATACCAAGAAAGTGCTATAAATTATAAATTAATGAATATAGAATACAGAAATATATATTTAATGAGTGTGCTCATTCTATAGTTACCTCCAACATCTTCACTTTGGTCTTCTATAAAAGTAAATGGTATATGAATATGATAACATAAAATGGATCATGACAAAGTACAAAATGATGTTTTTAACTCACATAGCGTATGTCTAACAGAAAATTGACAATGACCACAGAAATAAGTTAGTACAAGATTGTCAAATTTATAATAACTACGAAAAAAGGTTACGGTTATGTTTGAAAGTAAAGTTTAAAGAATTCAGCACTGTGATGCTGTACTATAAATTGAAATTGAAATGTCTTCACTATTACTATATGAAATCGGGTAAAACTTTATTTAAACTTGATTTGCACCTTACATAAGAACCAAATGATGCATGTTTACAACATGTACATATTCAAATGAGATTTGTTAAAATAACTACAAACTTAGAAAACTGTCAAAAACCATCTGCGGTTGATAAATTAGTATTTAAATCTATTATGAGTCCCTACTGTATCAAAACTATGGTGAAAGTGAACACTGGGAAAACATGATACTAGTTATAAATGTGAAATATACACCGAAAAATTTACTTACGAGATGGTGGTCTGTGTGCACGTGGCGATATAAAGGCTTTTTCTGTAATTTGTACAGAACTCGTCTCTTCAGCACGCGGACTTTCATCTTTTGATCTGGCACTAAGGCTTCGCTCTGTTTACCGAAAATGAAAGTTAAACAAAATATGACGAAATCTGTTTTTTATATTGTATAAAAATCCATAACATATTGTTACTTTTAAAAAAATCATATGTATAATATTTTGAAAGTATCAAATCTAAATCAAAATACTCAAAATATCTAAATACCATGCAGTTACAAGTGAAAACAAGAACTATGTAAGGGAGCTACCATTTGATTTTTATGGGTGGGGCTAGGATGAACAATTTTGTCCTGCATTTTTTTAAGTTGTAATCTCTGTCCTGCCTTTTTATTTTTCACTCTATTCGGTCCTGCCTTTTCTTTTTTTAGTTTATCCTGACTTTTTTTACATAATTATTTTTTTTTGCCAAGTTGCTCATCTGCCTTTTCTTTTACTCAAAACTCCTGTCCTGCCTTTTTTCAAATTTCATCCTAGCCCCCATAAAAATCAAATGGTAGCTCCCTAATAAGACTTTGCATAATTTCCTGTAAACAAAATTTCCCGTTCATCCAATACAATAAATCAAATATCAAAACATCTGTACAAAAGAAAATGGATTAGTATAATTGACAATGAGGTAAATATAAATGTTATATGGGAAAGGACTTCGTGCAATAGACTCAGAAAGACTGTAAATGTGACTACTGGACAAGACAGTACATATGATGAAAGATATGATGAAGCCTTAAATGTGAATACGAGTTTCAATGCAAATTAAATCAGCTTTATATGCAAATAGCAGCCAGAATGTTATGTAATGAAGATTTTACTATAGTTTTCTTCCACGAAAATTCGCACCCTTAACTTCATCATAAACTCTCTCAAAACACAAATAATCAATCATGCAATCAGTTCAAACAGATATTTTAACAAATAACATTGGGAATTCACTCGGGTCATCATTTATCTTACCCTTTTTGAGTTTTAAACAAAGCTTCCATGTTTTTAGCATATTAAGAATGTTGGTACTACGTGTTGGGGGACAAGAGTTAGAGCGCCTTTCTCTAACAGTTTGCGTTCTTTCATTTTCAACTTTCGTCTTCACTAAAGTATATATATATATAGTAGTTGTATTTGAATAAGTAATACATTTGTTTTTATTTTTAAGGGAAAGATTTCGAAAAACATAAACTATAGCATCAGTGTATTCATCTAAATATGTCAAGCTTTTAAAAAACTACACTTAGATATTGTCATTTTTTTTAATTCGTGCATGCTACATATCTATTATGATGTACAATATCTACAGCTACTTAATTCTTCTTAAATTTATAAATTTACTTTCTGCAATGGTTATTATTAGTATTATTGTTATTGTCACTATAATTAGCATTAGCCTTCTTCTTTCACTTCACCACAACAATAAGTCATTTATTAAATCAAGTATACTTTAAAGAAACTGTTATCTAATAATCGCTACTAAACTACTTTAATATAACTAAATATGAAGTCGCAATTTAATGAAAACAGAGACATATATATGTCTCTGATGAAAATAAATGCTAGCATTGTGTAAATCAATTAAGAAAAGACAAAAATCGTAATTTGAGTTCAAACACTTTAATTGCTGTATATCGTTTATGCAAACTACTTTATTTGTGTGTGACACGGTTTTAAAATTAGATATAGAATACAAGAAAAAATTTTTTTTTAAAGTGTTTGAAAGCAAACTACAGAAAACAACTGACATACCAGGAAAGATTAGTCTCGGTAATTCGCCACTATTTTCCAGACTTTCTGGGTAGAACAAGAAAATAATTGATAAGACTGCTATCAATGATTTATAATTTTTAAATCCATCATTGGACAATTATTGTAAATATGATGCAACGCAAAATACCAAGAAATCTATATATTAATGCATATGTATATGTTTGAAATGTGATTGCATGACTACAACTGGTTCATTGAACAATAAGCAATTTAACTTTGTAGCCTACTACATCAGCCTAAAGATGCAACTGCTTACTGTGACCTACAAAGACTTACTGTTTGGTCATTCTGTCATTCAAAAATGATTTCAAAGCCAAATCAATGTAATTTTACATCAAACTTCCCATAAGCTGATATAAAAGCCCGAGAGATACTTACGAAGACAGTCAGTAAGTCCCGCCTGATGAAGGATTGTCTCGCGCTGTGTTTCGTCTGCTGATGTGTCTCTTTCGGCATTTTCTGATGATATGACATGCAAGTTTTCAGGAGCTAATACAAAATGCATGAAAGTAAGTTAGTAAATGCATGCTTGTTAGAACATAGAATGAAAACATTTAGAGTGATGAACAGAGATCACGAGTGTCTACATGTATTAAAGATTGTTCTTACAAATTATTCGAGACATATTTTATCTATTCTTTGCACTAGGTGCTCCAAATTCAGTTACTAGTAATTTTTGTATGAGATCCTTAAAACTATGAGAAGCCAATATATATATTACAAATGACGAATACAAGATAGAGTACAAAACCTGTTACCGTCATCGTGTGTTCAGATGCAGTAACACATACAAGAGTAAACAATGACAGTGCAAGTATTGCAGAATGTGAAAGGAAAGAATATTACAGTTTGCCACTGTTCGAACCAGTCAATCTGAAGATCGCATTGATCAGGATTAATAAATATACATGTATTGCCATTGTCATTTTCCTGATTTTTTAAAAGAAAATGTTACGGAATAAGTCGGTTTTCTAACTCAAAACCATCTACTTATCTGTCAGTCAGATAATTTCGATCAAACGTGTGGTATTGGAGCTAATCCAAGGATAAAGAAACCCCTTGCATGGTGTTGGGGTTAACCTTAAAACAATTTACGATAATGTTAACTCGGTAATATAGAGTCAAAAACGTTGTTCATAATACAATATATAATTCATACTAGCTAATCATAAATTGTTGCAATTTTCCTTCCACTTAATTGCAATAATCAGTTTATTTACAAGAAAATTTTGACAATTGGACTGTTTTGGTTATAGGTCTTACATCATCAGGCAAAACATTTACTTTTAGATATAAAATAATAGATCTGATACTACAAATATCATGGGTATAAATGAACATCCATCGAAATAAAAGATAAAGCAACATGCGCCAATACCATGGAGTTAGTATACTAAAAGCTGTGCCGTAATATTTTGAAGTATAACAGTGAAAAAATTGAAATCGATTCCAAAAGATGATTAGCAAACACTACATAACTTACGACTTGATAAATGTCGACTGAAAAAGCTGGGTTTGTCCTGGCTTGGAGAAGCTGATTCAGTTGTTCCATTCACGACTGGTCTGAACTTTGATTCATTCATGCTTTTAGCGACATCTCTTAATTCACTTCGAGCTGTCTCAAATTCCGAATCAGGAGTTTGTGTTTCTCTTGGCGCTAAAGATTGGCTATTAAACTCGACTTGCACGACACCGCTCTCGTTTTCAGCTGGAAATCGGTATTCCGATTGTTTGCTTTGTTTTTGGGTGTAATAATGGTTTTGACTACTTGGTTTAATGTTATCGTAATCATCACTTCGTGAACTAGGTTTTATCAATAGAGGGCCATTAGACATGCTTTGTTTTTGTGACTGGTAACTTGTTTTTTGCATTCGATAATCAGATTGTGATCCCTGTTGTTCATTTAAAGAAGGCGAATTATTCAAACTGTTCAAAGTATTGAAATCTTTCTGCAATTCGATCTGAAAGTCACTAAAACTACTTCTTTTAGAGTTTCTATAGCTTTCGCTTTGGAAGCTTGAGTTAACGGTTTCTGGGGAATTGGACGAGTCCTTTGTTACGACTTTTCCAATAGCATTAACCAAATCTGCGAATGATTCGTCGGAGGCACCACGATAAAATCTCAGTGCCACATCGTCTTTTGCTGGAATGGAGACCTTGTGGTTTTTTAACTCTAAAATTCTCTTAAGCAATACATCACGTAACACGAGGAATTCTGACGCAGTAGTATATGACATTACTCTTGTAGCAAATTCTACGGCAGTTTTAACATTTGTTGAGTAACTTTTCAGTTCTGAGACTTTTTCCGTAAGTTCACGTTTTCTAGATTGGCAATGGTGTTCTACTTCTCTATGAAGCCTTTCTCTTCGCTCTTCTAGTAGTTTTTGAAATCGATCAAAAATGGAATCAATTTCATGGTTTATTTCAGATTCCTTTTCGGTCAAATCATCCACTACAGATTCAAATTGTGATACAGCTTCAGACATGGGATTTCCCCTGTTGTTGATTTCTCGAATAACGCTATGGACGGTTGATTTGCTATCTTCATAAACTTCGCTTAAGTTACGAATGATATGACCATGTTGTTGATTATGGTCTGAGACTGCGCAGAGAGTACATATTGGTACATCACAACCCCGTTTATCACAGTAGAATGTAAATATCTGCTCTTCGTGGCCTTTTGTTTGGCATGTGTCTTTTCGATGAAAATCACGAAGGTCACATTCTCGCATATCTTCTATCGATACTAAAATATGTTTCTTTGTTACGTGCGTTCTTTTATGAGCACGTGTACATTCGTGGCATATAAATAGGAAACAGTCCCGACAAAATGCATGCGCATTTGCTTCATCTGGACAGTCAGTACAAGGCACCTCTGTAGGTCGAAGTTGAACCCTAATAAAATCTAAATAGTTTCTAATGGCAGTGTCTAATGGAAAGGCCTCAACTCCATCAAAAGTTTTGTCAAAACGAGTTTGGCATTCTTGGCAACATAGTTCGTTGTCGTTCAATAGATCTTGTAAGCACGTCGAGCAGCACGTGTGTAGGCATGGAAGAACACGTGGAGCACCACGTCTGTCATCATACTCCTTTTCACAAATCGGACACAAGAGGAAAGCGTTCTGATTTATATTCATGATAGTTGTCTGCAAAGAAAAAACAGAAATTTAAAAAAGAAAAAAAATTATGATATTTTGTAAGCTAAATAGCAAACGGAGTTTTGTCTTTTTAGTTAGAAAAATATTGTAATAGATGTTGCAGAAATCTCATGATAATATATGTATGCGTGTTTTTTTATACAGGTTAGTCACATTATTTACATTTGAGCTTATTTGTTTCTACATAAACGTCTTCGATATGCCAGTTAGTTTAAGTACAATTATTTCATCAACAATTATTTCAGCTATATTCAGGACGAACTGCAATCCTCTAACTCTTAATACTTGGTTTTCGTGATAATTTTTTTCTCTCAATCACATCACCATTCACACTTAAATTTTGATTGATATAAAATAAGAAGATGAGGTATGATTGCCAACGAGACAACTTTCTACCAGAAACCAAATGTTGTAGAAGTTAGAAACTATAGGTCACCGTACGACAATTAGCAAAACCCATATCGTGTATTGAGAATGCCTGACATTAAATACCAGTTCAAAGGGAGAGAGAGAGAGAGAGAGAGATTCGAAATGAATGTGTTACGATACTACTGTATACTTCATTTGTTATTTTATATGTGTATAGTTCCTCTGCCTTAATCTTAATAGTTGTAAATAAAAGTCAGATTGAATAGCTCCAGAGATTTGACAAGTAAAGCTGTTAGCCAAACTATTTTACAAATTATGTGACTTGCAAATATATGTACTCTGATATCACAAGATCGTTTGGATTGCTTATTGATTTTAGTCAATACAAGAAGATACAAAGACCCTCTACAATTCCGATCCATTACAATAAGTTCAATAGACTTTATCCGTTGCTGGGTCTTTAGGCCATTTATCAAGTATTTGGCATCCAAAATACTGTTAATGGTAAATACCAACATTTAAATGCAAATAAACAGTAAAATGCAACAACCAAATAAGTTTTATTAGTTTGAATGTACTGTTTGAATTTTATAAAAATGTGAGTAAATTGTACACCAGCCAAAAATTTTAAATACTTTATAGCTAAGCTACTATACATAAAAGTTTGTCAGTTGAGTATTTTCTATATTTAAAAAAGAAACAGAAGACATTAAAGGGACAATAAAAAATCACAAGTCGAAGAAAATAATATTGAACATCACAAACCCCTTCAAAAACTAGGGGTGGTCTCAAGTACTCCGGTATATGAAGCAAATCCTGCTCCACATGTTGCACCCGTACATTCCTTTCATATCCTCCATAAATGAATCCCAAATGAAATGTAACAAATAAATGTATTGAAATAAAAACAAACACACAAATCAGGACATTCGAGAGCCCTTCGTTCGCATAGAAAAAAATTAATTTCGATGAGATTATATAAAAATATGAAATAAAAGAAAATGAACATCAGAATAAGTTATGCATCTTGTAAAGAAGAAAAACCTCAAATGTAAAACATAGGTAGTCTATATTTGAACATGCAGTTGCTGTGCAGATGACCTGGATTTATTTTATCTAAGAAACCAATTAAAATGCGATGTTTTGTCCACTAGTTCATGATTATTAAATTTTGTATATAACAACTTATCGTCATCAGTATGCAAGTATAAGAATTCAAATTATAATAGAGCTTACCATGTCTTACAAAGTGTAAAAACATTCTCAAAATAAACTCCAAAGGTCGACTGGGATATAAAGATATTGTGATCCCTGGACTCCTCTCGTTCTGGAAGTAAAACCCTGGCTGAATTGGGATGTCTTTAGCTGCCCGGGATGTATAATCACGCAACCAATGTCCAGTTGGAATGGAGACGTTACATACGATGTCTTGTAAACAGAGACTATCGCGCTCTCTGCACGATGAGGGACCCACGAAACAACTCCCTGTGGGGTCCGTAGGTGGCCTATTGCAAAGGCAAAATTTCTGTCCCTATCCAACAAATCCGGTTTTTTTTCTAGTGGCAGCCGAAATTGTCCACCTTTAAACCGGGCCAACTCCTACCTTGCAGAACCTACCTGTTCTATATATTGTTATTTTGCTGTCGGGTGAAATATTTGTCACTGGACGTTAAGCAAATAACAGGCTATCAATTATTCCCAACAAGTAAAATAAAATCGGTCAATAACATTAGATGCAAACATAATAAATAACAATGTTATTTTCATATGATTGATTCCTTGATTGATTTAGTATTGTTAAGTTCAAGTCCAATGACTAATGTTTCATGCAAATTCAGAAGTAGGACAAATCACAAATAAATCTAATAAGTAAGTTCTGGTCAACCGGGTTAAAGGGCGGACACATTTTGGAATGCCAGTGGGAAAAGATAATGCTGGAATGAGTTGAGAACTTGAGAAAACTTTCATTGCAAGGTCATCTAAGGACTCTTCCAATAGTTATTGTAAGTGCTTTTGTCTCGCCTTGACGGAGTCAAAAAGTGAGACTTAGGTATGCTGTTTCCGGTGGCGTGTTCGGACGCGTGAACATTTTGTTAAATCTGTGATTAGGTCAGTTAAAGAAGAATCACTAATGGTAAATCAATAATATTTGGTACACAGTTGTATAAGTATTGGAAAATATAAAATTAGATACAGGCAAGATATATATATGTGCCAACAGTTTATTTTCAAACTGAAGTGCGTAGAGCGTGACTCTCTATACCATAGGCATCAGATTCAAGGACCCCATGCCGACCGGACGTAACTGCTTAGTTATATATCCCGCACAGATAACTGACGCCCCAATAGCCGGACAAATGGGAGAAGTGAAGGTGACCATATTTCAACATGTTTTATTTTTTCTTACAAACATGTGATTACTAATGAATTCCTCAGCTACAAAGAAAATAATTCTTAAATATGTAAAAAGTTCCTTCAACTTTTAAATGTGAATAAAAGTAGATTATAGTAATTTGCGTATTTAGTTAAACTTGTCAACAACTCAAGCGCGTGGGGCAGCATTAGTTATTCCAAAATGCATTGAATATTTTGTTGTTCGATTAATCGGGTTATCTCCGAATTTCTTAATCAAATATTGAATGTTTAAAAATCTAATAGTCTTAAAGCTAACGGTTTTCGTAAGATTAATCTTCTTAAAGTCTTAACAACAGTTAGATTTTACGTTCTGTTTGTAGTGCATTACATTTGCCCTATGTAATTAACTCGACCAGCCTTATTGGTATCTGAGTTAATTTTTCAATGTTAATCACAATCAAGTTGAAGTTTTTAACTGACATCTTTGTGGTCACTATTGAAAAGAAATACAATGGGTCTTATTTGATTGACAAAAGGACTCATAATTATTTGATACAATTATTTGTTGTTGTAATTACACGATTGTGTATCGAAGATAAGTCGTCTCAATAATATGCATTTAAACAATGCAATTTAATTGTCAGGTTTTAACATAGTTCACGTTCCTCAGTTGTAGATGTTAATCTGTTCTTGTCTATGAATCGTTACAAATACATTCGAAATATTTTTATAATTCATAAGTAGTAAAATTATTTGATTCTTACAATATAGTTATCCATCCAAAATGTTGAACAGACTATATCGACATATGGACTACCCCTGAATGGCCGACAATAAATTTCAATGCTTAGGAGGGATGTTCGTTTGGCAATGATCTATAAAGACGTAACCATGTCTGGTCGGGATGTGGAGGTTGAATCCAATGCCTTGTACAGGGATAGTGCACAGCTACCTGCTCGCTAAATAACCCTTTAACTGAACAACTCTTTGACGAGTTCGTATATGGCCTGTTGCAAGGAACAATTTATCCCATATCTCATGAGGTTTTTCCAGTTCTAGTCTTAATTTCCGACTTTGCAAAACATACTTACTGGATTTATTGTTTGAATATAACTGAAATATTTTCCATTTGACGTTAAACAAACAACTTTAAATCAATCAATACGGCGGTTATCAACAATACAAAGAAAAGATTTGAATCGTTGCAGGAGTTTACTTCTAATAATTTTTTTAACATGTTCTTGTCATATTTTATTTCCAAATTGACTTTTCATCGCCGTTAAGTTGCGTTTCTTTGTCCCGCCGAAGGGAAACGGGGATAATTTTAACTGGTTCCTATTGTTTTATTTCAGAGAGACGGTTCGAATATGATATACAAGAACGCATACTTCATAGAAGAGAAACGCATTCTGAATATACCTTTGATATCAACAACTTGCATAATTTTGCTTATAACTAAAATCACAGATGACTGACGATTCAGATTGTCTTTTTCAGCAATGTTTTCCCAAAGTAAAAAACACTGTTTCTGTATCAGCGCATGAGCTGCACTATATGCTGACAATAATTCCTAGATATACTGAACCTGTCTCCCTGTCAGCACTATTATGCAAATATGACTAAATTTAGTTATTAAACAAAGGATAATTTATGCAGGGTTGAGTTATATAGTATGTTTGTAATAAAATTTAGTAGTCAAAGTTTTGACCAAGCTTTGATATGTATATGTCTGTTGTATGTGCAAGGGATCATAATTAACAACTCAATATATACATTCTCTTGCGTCTAGTTTAACATGCAACAATAAGGACTAGTATATGTGATCGGAACGTTATAGTTCATATAAAATAGTATTTTACTTATATATTTGATCTATATTATAAGAATGCAAGGTAATGGAAAGATACATGTGAAAAATTGTCCGTGGGACGCCGATAACAACTTTCAAATTGGTGAAACAACAGCACGTTAAACATGACAGAACAAATCTTAAAATGATCTACAGTAGTGTCATGTTGCTTAGGCAGAAGAGGTCGACCATGCCTCAGACTGCACCGATTCATTTTAGAAAAAGTAGTAATAGTGTAAACATAACTGTTTTATTAATGTGTGAACTTTAAAACACTTCACAAATAAATCACATGCTATGTATTGAAACTTAATAGATTTTAAACACCTACCTGTTAAAAATAACCTTTCAAAATCAACATGGATACATTATAACTGTCCATAGTATTTGTGGTATTATATTTCAATGGCTGATGCATTCCCGATAGAATTGAATCAAAATGTTCTGTCTATATTCAATGTTCAGTCGTCCAAAACCACGGTAGAACGGAGCCCTTGTGTATTTGCATATTAAAATAATCTATCCAAACCTTCAAATGCAAGATTTGATATAATAGGTCAATTGTATATGTAATCGGGTTCTATTTTACCTATATCGTAAAGGAAGAAATGTATTTGAACGTACATGTTAAAGCTGAACAGGTGATTTAAATTTGTAAGAATAGTTGAAGGTGTTCAACTTTATTGGATTTTATTAATTATATTTTGATTTCTTATCCTTTTCATTTTTTGTGCTCGTTCAAATAATTTTAAACGTTTAGAGTTAAGTAAATACAGGGTAGATATTTCAATGGCCCAACTTATAAAACCATTTTATTGTTTATCAATAGTTGAATTGCTGTAATTGAGTTCGTGTCTACGTTACTTGTAATAAGAATGACATGTTTAAGAAATAATTTTAAATATTCACGGTAATATATAAATGTAAAAATGTCTCGCCTCATTAAAGCAAAATTCAAACACCTATGGTATGAGTGGTCACCAGACTGCAAAACTTTGATTAAGGTCAGACCAAACTGGTCCCTTCGGCAATTCGTTTAGGGATTTATTCCATATTTATTGATATCAATAAAGAATTATAAAATGAAAAAATCTGGAATTACGATGAACTGAATTGTAAATCAAAAAATGTTGTCGAGATAACATAAAATGATGTTTTCGGTAATTGTACAACCATTTACAACACAAGCTCTCAAAAGCTTGTTTTCTGACAATTAAACATATACATCAACAATAAACAATATCATGCAAAGTAAGTAACAGAAATAAGCTGGCTAGCATATTTATCAATGTTGCACCATCAACAGTCACATTTGCAGTCATTCAATTCCGTTTAAATACCAAATTTCTGAATTGATGACAATTCGTTTCCCCGACAGTTAATTCCATAATATCAGTGCTGCGTATGAAAAAGATATTTTCCCAAAGATAGTGGTTCTTTTTGGTGGAATTTCCAATAAATTAACAAATCTGAAATAATACTACGTGTTTGATTTTATAATTAAAAGATCATTTAGATTTAAAGGTGCTAGGATGTTTATGATTTAAAAAATGTTTTAGAGTGCAGTCTTTGCTGGTTGGTAGCTGTTCGTTAAACGAAACGAAGACACAACAAATGAATGTGCGGTCTTAGATAAGACATCATCAACAAGGCATTGAAATTGTTTATCAACATTTAAATTAGTCTGATCATTTGATCCTTTCTATAAGCAGTTCAAATCACCAAAAACATATTCCACAGGACTTCTAATCACTTTGCAGTACCTCTCCGCAGACAAAAAGAAGACTACTGGATTCGGGAACTGGGAAATACAACACCGTATAGTTGAGAAGACAAAACTTATGATACAAGTATTGTATCTAGTCCCTTCTGCAGCTCAGTGACTATGAAGGATATTTTAAATAAGCCCCTCGGCCTAGATGCGCAGATGCAGCATTGTCATCGCCATTATAAATCACCTACTCTTCCTTGGATGACGTCCCCTTGCATACAAACGCCTTTGGGAATGCATCACATCTGCCGAAACTATATTTACTACCAATTTCAAAACTTATTTTTTTTACATAAAATTTCTTTGGAAACCCCTGTCACAAATGTCCTTCGTAAAAGAGTCCAATCTTATAAATTATATCAAATATCTTATAAACTATATCAGATATCTTATAAACTAAATAAGAGATATCTTATATAATCTAGTTTTTATAAGGTTTCTAATCACTATACTATATATAAAAATATTAATTTTCGCGAACCATTTAGGTCACGGAAATTCCAAAAATTCCCAAGAGTAAGGAGAGTTGTACAATTAGTGTGAGTACACAGAACCCCGATCCAATCCATCTTTTATAAAAAGAGTTTATTATTCCCTGTTTTATATCTATTTACAGCATTCCGTTTTTTTACAATTCCTATTTAAATGTGCAAAAAACTGCATTAAAAATAGATATTCCCAAAGTTAAAATTCCGCTGATTGGTTGGACTACTGAGGTGATCTCTAAGATTCACAAACATAATTATAAATACATTTCCTCCGCTGAAATGTAATTCTTACGTGAAGCTACTGTAAAGGTAATATATTAATCCCGATGTAATCTTCGATATCAAATGAAGCGGAAACTGTATACCAGAAAAAAGAGAAGACACTGACAGATTGTTAAATGAACGTCTATATCATGTTGTTACATAAAATCCGATAGTGAGTAAGGATCTCTCCCGCCATAAATACAGAATACATGAAGGAGACTTCTTGAAAACGGAGAATATTATCTTTTTGTTTTCAGAAATTCCGTTGAGCATTATTTACAATTCATTAGTTTTGAATTTGGGTACTGTTGACTTTTGTCGTTGAGAGCGGTAAGTAACAATCCCATTTCTTAGAAATGTAAACAATGAACAACATTCGACAATGTGAACCTTGACGATATGCATGATAATGGGTCACTGACATTTTTCTCTGATTTTAATATCTAACCATTTAATAATTTCAAAATTATCTGTATTTGCACCTATTTAACGTGTAACCATGAACATATCTTTATATTCAAGTTTATACACGATAAATGGCTATGATGAGGAATTTGTATGCACACTTAAAGATGGTGGATCCTTGAATAATCACGTGACATTATTATTTGTAAACAAACGTCGCAACGAACACGTGTCGGAACTTTCCATATCATTCCAAATTTTGGATTATTTTTACAGACTTTGCAAATATCACTGGATTTCCACCTATTTGTCTAACCAAATTTTTGTCTTGAACTAATCTGCTAATATGTCCATGAAACTTGACCAACACAACACAACAACAGCACAATATACCCCTGCGGCACATGTGACCAACCTGTCACCTGGGACCACAGAGCTGTCAGATGTGACACATGCGACCAGTGGTTTCACATCAATTGTCAGGACATTCATAGTGGCACATATAGTTACCTCACAGCAGACGAAAACACTGCTTTAAGATGGGACTGCATTGTTTGCGACAGCCCAAACTACAACTCATTGTGTTACGGCTCAACATCCATCCAAACAGAAAACAGCTTCAGCCCACTGGAAAATACTCTTAACAACAGTACTGAAACACAGAACAGAAAGCCACTACATTCGTCAACACCAAAACGAAATAATGTAAAGGAAAAACATAAGCCCTTTACACCATTGCGAATTTTGAATGTCAACTGTCAGTCTATTAGAAACAAACAACACCAAGTTGAAAACATCATAGATAGTACCAAACCTGATGTTATAATAGCAACAGAAACATGGCTAGATCAATCAATTACGAACAGCCAAATATTTCCACAAGAATATAATATATATCGCAAAGACAGGAAAGGAAATAAAACCGGAGGAGGCGTCCTAATAGCCATAAACAACAAATATTTAAGCTCTGAGGTACCAGAACTGGACACAGATTGTGAGATAATTTGGGCACGGATACAGCAGAAAGGCACAAAAGATCTATACATATGCGCCTACTATAACCCAAAAACATTGGATGTTGAAAGTCTTCAAGCATTTGAAACATCAGTCAGAAGAACCAACGCAATAAATGCATGCCAATTGATCGGAGGGGACTTCAATTTGCCAGGATGGAACTGGGCAAACAAATGTCTATACCAGGGAACACAGCACACAGAACAACATTACCATTTTGCAGAAATCCTTGACGACAACGGACTAACACAGCTAGTGCAAGAGCCTACAAGAAACAAGAACACTCTGGACATCTTGATCACTAACCGTCCTAGCAAAATAATGAGAATAGATATCATACCAGGAATATCAGACCATGACATTGTATATGCTGAAATGAACATCAACCCAGTAACAAACAAACAGAAACAACGAAAAATCCCTCTCTACAAGAGGGCAAAATGGGACAGCATGAAGGAAGATATGAAACATCTACACAACGCTATTCAACAAGAAAGCAATACGGATAGACCAGACATAAATATGCTATGGAAAATGTTTAAAAACGGTCTTGAAACAAGTACAAACAAACATATACCAGCAAAAACCTGTAAGACCAAAGATAAGAACCCATGGATTACACGGGAAATAAAATCACTCATAAGGCGAAAAGACCGAGCATATAAAAAGAAAAAGAAATCAAACCATCCTGACGATTGTGCAAGATTTAAAGAACTGAAAAAGACAGCACAGAAAAGCCTAAGACAAGCATATTGGAAGTATATTGAAAGTATCATCACCCCGGAAAATCCTGAAGAAACACATGCCCCTTCTAAAAGATTTTGGACATACATCAAGCACAGAAAAAGTGATAAAAGTGGAGTGGCACCTCTAAGAAAAAATGGTAGCTTAGAAACAGATCCAATCAACAAAGCAAACATATTAAATGAACAATTTCAATCTGTATTTTCCAGAGCAAACAACATCAGCAACAGTGAATTCTACAATCAAAATCATATGTCCGACTCACCAGAAAATTACCCTGACTGTAGAGACATCCTTATCACAATCAACGGAGTAGAAAAACAATTGAGAAACCTTAACCCACACAAAGCCGCTGGACCGGATAACATCAGACCAATGATACTCAAAGAACTTGCCAGCAAAATCGCTCCCATACTTACCATCATATTTAATGTTTCAATGGAGACAGGCAAAGTCCCAGATGACAGGCGGACAGCTACACAGTCACACCAGCATACAAAAAGGGTCAAAAGTACATCCCAGCAAATTACAGACCAATATCTCTTACATGTATTTGCTGCAAGATCATCGAACATATTGTTACCAGCCACATTATGAAACACGCAGAGGCAAACAGCATCCTTTATCCACTACAACATGGATTTCGAAGTAAACGATCCTGCGAGACGCAACTCTTAGAATGCATTGATGACTTAACGAAGTACCTTGAATTGGGAAAACAGTCTGACCTACTGATACTAGACTTCTCAAAAGCATTCGATAAGGTATCCCATAGCCTGCTCCTACATAAACTCAATCACTATGGAATCAGGGGAAAGACCAACAGCTGGATAGAAGCGTTCCTGACAAATAGAACCCAAGTAGTAGTAGTTGAGGGTGAACAGTCAGACAGAGCAAAGGTAGAATCTGGAGTTCCACAAGGTTCAGTCCTAGGCCCTAGTCTATTTTTGTTTTACATAAATGACCTAGCAATTGACCTAAAATCAACAGTTCGTTTCTTTGCTGATGACACAGTAGTCTACTTAACCATCGCCTCAGATACTGATTGCCGACACCTACAGTCAGACCTTGATAAACTGGCACTATGGGAGGAAAAGTGGAAGATGGAGTTTCACCCAGAAAAGTGTAGCGTACTGACTGTCTCCAGAAAGAAAAAGCCAATCAAATGGGACTATGTATTACATGATCATGTACTAAAACATGAAACATCAATTAAGTACCTGGGCTGCACCATCACAAGCGAACTAGACTGGGGAGAACACATCAACAACATTACCAGCAAAGCCAGCAGAAGCCTTGGTTTCCTCCACAGAAATCTACACATCGGCTCTAAAAGCATCAAAGAGCAAGCTTACAAAACCCTAGTAAGGCCCCAACTAGAATATGCCACAACAGTATGGGACCCATATCATCAGAAACATATTGACCAAATTGAAAAAGTTCAAAGGAGGGCTGCGCGATACGTCACCAAGCGCCACAGAAACAGATCAAGTGTCACGGACATGATTAATGAATTGGGTTGGAAAAGTCTCCAAAAACGACGCAGAGAGGCCAGGCTCGCAATGATGTACAAGATCGTCAACGACAAAGTAGCCATCAACAAAGACATGTACCTCCAGAGACCAACCAGAGTATCCAGACATACACAACAGCATGGATACATGGTACAAACAGCAACCAAAGACTGCAGGAAATGGTCCTTCTTTGTGAACACCACCAAAGACTGGAACAAGCTTCCCCCGGAGATCGCCACAGCACAGTCATTTGAGACATTCAAATCTCAAATGACCAACCTTACAAAATAAGATGAACATTTTTTTCATCCTGTTTTTAACCATGCAGAACCAATTTGCCAGTATATTCAGAAAGTTGAATGTGGGCAGTATATGGAAGAAGAAGAAGAAGAACTTTTTCAATGCAACATCATCATCCACATATATCATGTATATATATATATAGTCTGCATGAACCAACGCATTGAAAATATTATTTCAACAAACATGTTCAATACTTGAATAAAAAAACAAGCAGTGAAATTTTTTGGCTAAAATACTCAAAAGCGTGACGTATACATGTATCCCCCATACCTGTCCTTTTTATAATTATGAACACTAAAACGCTCCATTTGAAGCTAAAACATCTCACTTTTTAGTTTTATGGAACGCTTAGTCATGTCCACCATTATTAAATAGTGATTTGTAAATTGAATCACTAATAAATGGACTTATTTTTTGGCAGTCACCATTACACATTAACACTGACATCTGCAATTGTAGGTGCGGAACCCTTTCCCAATAGACCACTTTAGAGTTATGTCCTTTGCTGGAAAATTTTGTCAATTATACACGCTTTATGACGTTATTTACTAGATAGAGGGAACCGCCTGTTAAAGTTCATCAAGTGTCTTCATGATCATGATCGTCAAGATGAACTAGAAATAATGTTTGTTCCAAAAGGTACTCAATAACATTTCTCTAATGACAGAAGTGCTGATTTTCAATTATAAGAATTTAATTGGCGAAAATGATTTGTGCAATATAGCATTATTTTTTTTTTCAAACAATCGCTCAACTAGGAACGGAAGTGACATCACCCCTAAACGCACGAATGATGTTCACTTAAACCAAAGTTTTTGAGGGAAATGCAATTAACTCGAAAGTTGTTTATTTGTTTTGTCTTACTGCAACAAAGTCTCCGAAGCTTAACTAAGGTACAAAAAAATGTCTGCTGTTTTTGGCATAGCCAATGACATTAACAATTTGTTAAAGATTATAAGTACAATTTTTGACTCAAATATAATCTTTATTGATTATGATAGTTATGATAACTAGACTCAGCTATTGTTATCAGGAAGCGTTCCTCTGACGCACAGGTTCATGCATAGCTCGTCCAGACAGAAAACCATGCGTCCAGGGCGACTATACGCGCCTTAACAAGAATATTGTTAGTATAGTATGACAAACACATGTTTCGTCTCCATATGACAAATCAACGGTGCAACAATAAAATCAGTTGGGAACAATGAAACGCCGAATTAAATATATAGTTGAATAGCATTGGGAACCAAAAGTTATAATAAGGGACAACCAATGACCAGATATTTTAATGTAAATTATTATTATACAATTAAACAAAAACATTCAAGTATCAAGTGTAGTACAACATTGTCATTTATTTATCTGATGTTGCAGGATCATTTAAATTGTGTATGATCTCAGTCATTAGACCACCCCTGGGCATATCCTTAACCTCAGTTACCTAGTCGTTACAGTCAAGGTTTTAAGGTGTTTCTTAATCCAACTATTTTCATGCCCCCGCCGTAACGGAGGAGGCATTAAGTTTTACCCTTGTCTGTCCGTCCGTACGTACGTCCCAAAATTGGTTTCCGTTCTCTAACTTTTGTTTGCCTCAACCAAATGTTATGAAACTTATACACAATGTTTATTAACACAAAACACAGGTCAAGTTTGAATTTGGGTGGCATCACTTTTACTGTTCTAGAGTTATGCCCTTTTACAAATGGAAAAATTGCTTAATTTTTTGTTTCCGTTCTCTAACTTTAGTTTGCCTCAACCAAATGTTATGAAACTTATACACAATGTTTATTAACACAAAACACAGGTCAAGTTTGAATTTGGGTGGCATCACTTTTACTGTTCTAGAGTTATGCCCTTTTACAAATGGAAAAATTGCTTAATTTTTTGTTTCCGTTCTCTAACTTTAGTTTGCCTCAACCAAATGTTATGAAACTTATACACAATGCTTATTACCACAAAACACAGATAAGTTTGAATTTTGGTGGCGTCAATTTGAGAGAAAATACAAAACTGGCTGAACAGTTAAAACAAACCAGACTCAATTAAACGAACAATTGCTCATCAAGGTATAAACCAAATAAAACAGCCATCACATATATAATGAAAGAAACATATTTAAATCATAGATGCATGAACATCTCAGTTTGATACAACTTCATTATAACATGTCTAAATTCAATATCTTGATGAAAAAAAAAACCCAATACATTAAAGAGCTTGGTGGTGAAAAACCCATTTTGATATTTGCTTAAGTGGTGAATTGTAGTTAATAATGCAATTGAAAAAACTATTTCACTCAATTACATAAAAAAGTTGTAAGGGTTCCGCGGAACCCAGTGTCTCCCCTACTTTTGCTGTTGTCTATGTTTTCAGTGTGATAGGGGAATGCACATAATAGATACAGTTAATGAAATGGTTTATGAATCTACTTTTTTTTATAATAAATGTTTTATAAACTTTAACTGCAGACTGTATGTAATGTTATCTGGAAGAAAAACTAAGTCCGTTTATAAGTAATATACGGAAAAACAGGAAATAAATTTTTACAAAATTTCCTTCTAGATACTAGCTTTTGATCATTAACAAGCTTCTGTCCAAGTTTCAATGGTACAAATCCAGGATAGTTTAAGAAAGTTATTAAAAATTTTAAAACTTTAACCACAGAGTGAATTTTGTTAACTGGCAGAAAAACTAAGTACATAGGGTAAAATGCAGTTTTTGGCTCATATCTCTGAAACCAAAGCATTTAGAGCAAATCTGACATGGGGTAAAATTGTTTATCAGGTCAAGATCTATCTGCCCCTGAAATTTTCAGACCAATCAGGCAAATCGTTGTTTGGTTGCTGCCCCTGAATTGGTAATTTTAATGAAATTTTGTTGTTTTTGGTTATTATCTTGAATATTATTATAGATAGAGATAAACTGTAAACAGCAATAATGTTCAGCAAAGTAAGATCTACAATTTACCGTTCTAGAGTTACATGTATGCCCCTTTACAAATGGAAAAATTGCTGAATTTTTTTGTTTCCGTCCTCTAACTTTAGTTTGCCTCAACCAAATGTTATGAAAATTATGCAGACTGCTTATTACCACAAAACTCAAGTACAAATTTGGGTAGCGTCACTTTTACAGATCTTGATTTATATCCCTTTATAACGTTTTATGCAAGCGGGGGCATCATCTGTGTCCCATGGACACATTCCCCATTTATTAGCTCACCTGGCCCGAAGGGCCAAGTGAGCTTTTCTCATCACTTTGCGTCCGTCGTCGTCGTCGTCCGGCGTCGTCTGTTAACTTTTACAAAAATCTTCTCCTCTGAAACTACTGGGTCAAATTTAACCAAACTTGGTCACAATCATCATTGGGGTATCTAGTTTAAAAAATGTGTCTGGTGATCCGGTCAACCAACCAAGATGGCCGCCATGGCTAAAAATAGAACATAGGGGGAAAATGTAGATTTTGGCTTATATCTCTGAAACCAAAGCATTAAGAGCAAATCTGACATGGGGTAAAATTGTTTATCAGGTCAAGATCTATCTGCCCTGAAATTTTCAGATGAATCTGACAACCCGTTGTTGGGTTGCTGCCCCTGAATTGGTAATTTTAAGGAAATTTTGCCGTTTTTGGTTATTATCTTGAATATTATTATAGATAGAGATAAACTGTAAACAGCAATAATGTTCAGCAGAGTAAGATCTACAATTAAGTCAACTTGACCAAAATGGTCAGTTGACCCCTTAAGGAGTTATTGCCCTTTATAATCAATTTTTAACCATTTTTCGTAAATTTTTGTAATCTTTTACTAAAATCTTCTCCTCTGAAACTACTTAGACAAATTTAACCAAACTTGTCCACAATCATCATTAGGGTATATAGTTTAAAAAATGTGTCCGATGACCCCGCCCACGAACCAAGATGGCCGACATGGCTAAAAAATAGTACATAGGGTAAAATGCAGTTTTTGGCTCATATCTCTGAAACCAAAGCATTTAGAGCAAATCTGACATGGGGTAAAATTGTTTATCAGGTCAAGATCTATCTGCCCTGAAATTTTCAGACCAATCAGGCAAATCGTTGTTTGGTTGCTGCCCCTAAATTGGTAATTTTAATGAAATTTTGTCGTTTTTGGTTATTATCTTGAATATAATTATAGATAGAGATAAACTGTAAACAGCAATAATGTTCAGCAAAGTAAGATCTACAATTAAGTCAACTTGACCAAAATGGTCAGTTGACCCCTTAAGGAGTTATTGCCCTTTATAGTCAATTTTTAACCATTTTTCGTAAATTTTTGTAATCTTTTACAAAAATCTTCTCCTCTGAAACTACTAAGACAAATTTAACCAAACTTTTACACAATCATCATTAGGGTATATAGTTTAAAAAATGTGTCCGATGACCCCGCCCGCAAACCAAGATGGCCGACATGGCTAAAAATAGAACATAGGAGTAAAATGTAGATTTTGGCTTATATCTCTGAAACCAAAGCATTTAGAGTAAATCTGACAGGGTGAAACTGATTATCAGGTCAAGATCTATCTGCCCTGAAATTTTCAGACCAATCAGGCAACACGTTGTTGGGTTGCTGCCCCTGAATTGGTAATTTTAAGAAAATTTTGCAGCTTTTGGTTATTATCTTGAATATTATTATAGATAGAGATAAACTGTAAACAGCAATAATGTACAGCAAAGTAAGATCTACAAATAAGTCAACATGACCAAAATTGTCAATTGACCCCTTAAGGAGTTATTGCCCTTTATAGTCAATTTTTTACAATTTTTTCATAAATTTTGTAAATTTTTGTAAATTTTTACAAAATATTTTCCACTGTAACTACTGGGCCAAGTTCATTATAGATAGAGATAATTGTAAGCAGCAAGAATGTTCAGTAAAGTAAGATCTACAAACACATCACCATCACCAAAACACAATTTTGTCATGAATCCATCTTTGTCCTTTGTTTAATATGCACATATACCAAGGTGAGCGACACAGGCTCTTTAGAGCCTCTAGTTTAGTATTAGGTTCAACCTAACATTTGATAAAACTTTGATTTCAGTGTGGCTATTCTGTAAAAAAAGACATCAATTAGAGAAGCCAATACTATTGGGACATTAATTTGAGAACAACAAAAAAGATGTCTATTTCAGGGATATATAATTGGTCATACATGTAGATTTGAAATCTTATTTTATTATGACGTCAGATTTGCATGTCGACTTCAGGAATGGGGGTTGGTTAGAGACAGCTGGACGTCAATCCGAGTCCTATAAATTTATATATATTGATTCAGTTGTGATTGTAAATAAACACTGATAGATAAGTCTCATAACATTTTATAGTTTTAATGTATGTTCATCTGTTTACAATCAATGACAATTATAAGGTGGAAGTATGTTTTTATTTCAAAAAGAGGGGCACTCAGCATATATTATTAATTAGTGGATGGACTACTTGCTAGAAACTGAATGTTTTACCACAACTTTGTATGTTTTAACTTGGAAACGTATATACATTTTGTATAATTTAAAAAAAATACATGTCTATTTCAGGACTTCTGATCCATGTAGTTTGGCATATTTGTTAGATCATAGAGGTGGTTGTGATGGGTGAATGTTCATGACAGTCCTCTATTACAAAGTATATCACTGGGTTGAGCTTTTTGTCTAAGTGTATTATTAAAGTGCTTTGCTTTGAGCTCAGTTCATTGTTATGCAAATGCATTCTTTGTGAAATAAAGATTTGACAGACAACTCCCATCTGCACATGATCTGCTAAAAGGTAAGATGATTACAAGGAGTTGTACCGTCCATTCAACGTAAGTATTTAATGGGAGATTAAAGCATTTTATTTACACTTTTTTTTAAACATCAGTGCTGCCTGCTGATGAGTCCTGGGTGTAAATGATCATTCACTTATACATACCGGTAATGTTAGTAAGTATAAATTGATTTTTTTCATCCTAAGCTTTTGTCCATCAGTCCTGTTCATATCTAAAAGACTTTTAATCCATTTGTAGGAGTTATGAGCATCTGTATTGGTATCTGCCATATCTGGTATATTGTCGTTACTTAATACCATAATTATATCTTTTTATCAATAAATCAATTTCCACATTTAAACAAAAATCTTTCACTAATGATACTGGGAAGACCCTGAACAAATTTTCAGTTTTATATGGACAAACCCAAGTAAGAATTAATAACCACCTCAATGGAACATAAATAGAACCATACAAATATTACATGCATGCAGGTTCTGGGACACAATCTCGCATACTAAAATCACATCAAGCAGAAATGCAACTAATGTGGTCCTATTTTAATTTTGAGTTTTTGCTGCTATCCAAAATCAAAATTGTGGAACATATTTAATCTTTTGGCAATTCTTGCAATCTTCTGCTTCTTTACGTAAATCTCTCCAGCGTTGGAGCACACTCAGCTAGCTGTGTTCCCTTAACGGATCATTTTTTTAAATGTTAATGTATTCACATAGAAGTTATTTCAAAAATTTTAAAATGTTGAAAGGAAATCCTCCAATGGCACATGCACAAAATTTATTTACAGGAATGTACATATTAAATTCACAAAGTACTCATAGTATGTTGACCAATATGTAGATTTGATATTAAAAGCAATGTCTAGCTATATAAAATCTATGAACGGTCGGCACTGATTTAAATTAGTGTCTCCTCCATGACAGTATTGAACATTAAAACTCAATATTAAATAAAAGACACTTCTATTTTCAGTGTTTGGTACAGGTTGCCTGTCACTGTGCACAACAGTTCAACATAGAAGCCTATGGGAAAAAATCAGAGAACTCTTTTTGTCAGAAAACACTGTCAAACATCCAAACATACTATCCACACTGATCTGTGTCCACACTTGTAACCAAGAACAAAATGGACAAGGATGTAAACCACTGCAGGTAGCACATATGCGATTTTTGGCAATTTCTTTCAGATGATCATGAATGGTGTAGAAATCACAATACTGTGAATATTAATGTTCAGAGTTGAAATACAGAAAAGAAATGTAAAAGGAAACAGTAGGCAAAACGGTACGAAGAGGACGCCTTTTTAACCCTTGAGCTCATAAGTAACAAAAAATATTATAAATCCATTAAATAACTTCTTCAAATGTTCAACCGAAATTAGTATGTTCGACAGATATCTGTACATAGAAATGTTTGCCCATTTTATCAACTTTTTGCATCATAGGTACGTGAGGTATATGATAAAGTGTATATGATATGGCTTTTTCAATATCACACAACGTATCAACCCTCAACCAATATAATCCCTAGAGCAGAGTTCTTGGGATTATATTAGTGTCAAGGGTTGATACGGATGTGATATTGAAAAAGCCATATGATATTCTCTATTTATCTTGCCTCCTATACATTACTAGAAATATGATTGGATAAAAGCAACCGCGTGGAGACTGTATATTTCATCTGGAGTTAGTAGGTAGGGCTTATTTCAATACACGGTTTGTAGTGGTGTTACGTCCCTTTATAAAAACAACACGGTGTTGAGGGAAAATCTGGAAGGTTTCAACAGACGAAGAAATTGATGATGAACGATTGAAATAAATTCATAAAACACATTTAAAGCTAACAAGTTGTTATTGTTGGCATTTGTTTTTGTATAGACCAATGGGAGTAGTTTCTTAATACTATAAGTATTGAAGACTTATAATCACTTTGATAGGCCACAAGACTCTGAAATACCACATGTTAAGATAGTCGGTAAAAATTTCGTTACACAGTGAGCTGGTGACCTAAAACGATATATATGGGGTCAGTAAATTCCTTGTGGGGATTCAAGCTTCGCTCTTACCCCATATGGAATTTGCTGATCCCATATATATCGTATTAGGTCACTAGCACACTATGTAACTAATGATATCATTTTAATATCCACAAAAAAAATGTTTGTATCTACATCCACTTCCACTTTGGCCAAATTTGTCATTTTTACACGAAAAAAACATTCTGTAATCAGTTTTTATTGTACATTCATTTATAAATGAAATAAGCATAATTTTGAAAGAATAGAAGAATTTTACTTTTTCATCAATATTCATGGGGTAAATAATGGTTTTGATCATACTTCTTCCGTTGCTACAGTATTAGATATCCCATGTAGGCGTTTTTCCGATGGGAATATATCTAAATTTGATCAAAACTATGTATAGTGTATGCAAAATGAGAGCTTTCAATAAATTAATTGGCAAGGAGTCTTTCATGAAATTTTATGCAAAGTATCATATCAAATTCATTGTGTTAGTATCCATTTAATTAATGAAGTGGGTGGAAATAGCGTTTATCATCAAGCGTCAAATGTCCATTGTTCGCTAACAGTACTGTTAGCGTCAAATGAGTACAAAACCTACGTCACTCGTCTCAACTCATCTCACCCAGGATTTAATTCAAGAGGGTGGTAAAGGGTTGTTTTCGTATAATTTAATTATGGATGTAACGCGTCTTCTGATTGGCTGACGTTGTTTTGTTTATCAGCTCATTGACATAATTTTGTCATGTGACCGTGACGTCATCAACGTTTTTTCATGGTTTACTCCGGTTTAAAATGGAATTTAGAATTAAATTATAAGAAATGACTGTAATATTTTTTCTGTCTATTCGAAATAACATAAAAAATGTGGTGCACACTTCAAAATAACCCGCTTCGCGGGTTATTCAGTGTGCACCACATTTTTGATGTTATTTCTTCATACAAGAATAACCATAAAAGTCCCAAATATATATTGAATTTTCATGGTGGAAAACAATTTTTTTAGAGGTAACGTGCAAATTTTTACACAAGCTAGTCTCCAATTATAAACTTTGTATGCCTTTATTTATTAAATTAACTTAGTGAAATTAGTTCACATGGTTGACTGTAAAACAAACCAATTGTTATTTTATTTTCAAATTGTACCGTTAATCCGCACGAAGTCATCAAAACTGGTGCTGTATGTGACGTTTAGGCGTATAACAGTGGCAGGTACTTGAAATAACTGGTAACGTTTTGCAGTACAACCATTGAGTTTTTACCGATTTTCACAATGTGAAGTGTTACAGATTGCAAATCGTTCGATAATATGTATGACAGTTTGATTTCTGTAAATATATTCAATAAAAACTGTTTATTCAAATTTAGAAAGACAGCTCGGCAGATAAAGTCGGTCGAATTCGGGAATATCTGTTTTTGAATGCTCTATTTTACCCAACATATTTCTTGAGAAACTTATCCATTTGCTGTTGGTGTAAACATATATTGACTTCATTAGTATAAAAGATACCAAAATATTAAAGTTATTAATAATTTCGACAATGTCTTTTAAAATAATTTCAGTGAAAATCTAAATCATACCCTCTATTTTTTTATTTACTTTTTGTCTTTTGCCATTGTGTTAGGTTTGTTTTGTTGTGCTTGGTCCAATTCTGACAAGTCAAACTCTTTTCAAATCTTTTTTGGTATTTGTTCTAATGTTATATTGGTACACGACAACGACAATTCAAGGCTAGAAGAGGGGGTCAGCGCCTACAAAAATATATTTCCAAAACCAAAAAGAGGTCTTTGGTCAAGTGGTTGTCGTTATCCCTCTTTGTTTGTCATGTTTGTTATTCGATCCTTCAATGCTAAAAGCTTAACATGTCGTGAACTTTCTCATTTTAATTGTTTCACATTGAATTACACGAAGGACAGTCTTGCATACATAAAAGAAAGGCGAAAGATACCAAAGGGATAGTCAAACTCACAAGTCAAAAACACACTGACAATGCCATGGCAAAACACGAAAACTGACCAAAAGTCAATTAACAGTACACACACAAAATAGAATACTAAAGACTGAGCAACACGAACCCAACCAAAAACTGGGGAAGATCGTATATATACAAAACTATTGTTTAAGGCAGTACGATGACCAGTAATTGATAGCCTTGTCCCGATGTCTTTGGTGGCTATAGGTGTTTCATTTGTAACCATGCCAAATATCACGACTTTAAT